GTTAGTATTTCCTCAGGACATACGGGGCCTTCTTTATATAAAGGCATCTCAATGAAATGCTGTGGGGCTTTGGGGCTGTACATGTGTATGCATGTGTTTAATACTCTGAGCTCTTCCTCGGGAAGAAAGGAAGGAAGGAGGCAATGGAGGTAGGAGGCCTGGAGGAGGAGTTGAAGGGAGAAGTGATGACGTTGGTTTAACATGAGGCAAAGCCCAGGTCAGTTACTCTGAGGGCAGACCATGAGCAGTGAGTCACCAATCTCCCACAAACTGATGAATTTTTAATGACCTTAATTCTCCAACTCAAACAATTTGGCTTTATTGCCAGATCGATGTGTTCTGATATTCTGGTTTAGAGATGACAATAGTAGAATATTTTTATTTGTCTCCCCTCGCAGGACAGTTATGGGTCATATTCAGGGGTTTACGGGTATTTTTAAAAGTCATTTCTTCAGAAAATAAAAAGTATGCCATTTTTTGTGCACCTCCATATTATTTTTAAATGTGATTGGTCTCTCCCATCTCAAGCTCAGGAGCCAGTGTCATAGAATACCACACCACATTCTCAAAGTCTAGGAGATGCAGTCATTTCAGAAATCTAGAAATATATTCCAGTTAGTTCAAGACACAGAAACGACATACCAATAACCTGTTAGCCAGACCTTTCCAAGAAAAACCTGTACTGTACATGGGGAATGGCAGTGGGCTGGGAGTCTACTGGGAGATGCCAGCTCTGCCAATGAGCAGAAAAATGATGCCAAAGGTCCAGTTCCAAGGTCTACTCTTGTGATTCCATTTTTTTCAGCTGTACTTTACAGTTTGTAACATGGATTACAGATTTTGAGGAATTTGGAATCCTCACAACCGAGTACTGAAGTCGTGGTCCCAAAGTCTGTCAGCGCTCACCTGTGAAGTTAAAGGTGCCCCTGAGTCCCTTTGTCTCTCCAAAGAAGCAAGAATAACTTCCCATTTGGTCGCGACTCGTAACCGTGAACCTAAAAAGAATCCAAATCATTAATCTAGGCTTAGTTCTCAAAAAGATTCTTCATGAAAAGACCTAGCCATTGATCAAAACATTTTAAACACATACAATTCTATCTATTTGTAAACTGGAACATGATGGTGACATTCAAGGAAATGCAAAGAAAGATGACCAAGTTGTCAAAAATATTCAGGGGGAAACGCTGTTTTGCAAGGCAAACAGGTGACACTTTTTATACTCACTTGTATCGGGCAGAGAGAACGTTTCCCGCTGCACTGGTGAGGGAGCCATTCTTCAGGAGTCCGTCATCTCTCTTCCATGTCACATTTACTGAACTCAGATCTTTAGATGTTGTAAATTGGCAGATGAGTTCTATATGAGAAGGACGTTTTAAAGTGATAGTTCTTTCTACTGGTACATTAGAATGTTCTGGGAGCCATGAAAGGAAAAAAAATGTCCCCATTACATACTGAGGATATGTCCAACACATACAGCACGAGGTAAATGACCTATAACAATGTTCTATCAACAGTTTCTTAATTTAACATTCATTTACTTGAAGCTTTAAAGTCCTGTGCAAACATAAATGTGTGGTTCCGTTCATCAGCACTGCTGGAGAAAACTTATTGCAACATTAACATTAT